GGGGGGGGGCTCTGCGCTCAGGGATGGGGGGCCTTCCTCCGGGCTCGGGGAGGTCCTGCTGCTCTCTGGCTCTCGCCCCTCATGGATGTAGAGCTGCCCCAGCCTGGCAGCCCCCAAATGCATGGAGGGGCCTAGGGGCTGGTGGCCAGGCCTTCAGGCTCAGCCTGGGGGTGGAGGGGACATTTGGTGGACGCAGGTCTGGGCTCCTTTGTGGTAAACGGGGCCGTGGGCCAGCTGGCTCCAGACTCAGAGGCCGCACGTGGTCCCCACCCCGCGCTCCTGGGCCTCCCGGCGGCCAGGCCTGCAGCCTTGGTCTGGGCCCTGGGGGCGGGGAGCCGGGTGTGGGTGTGAGTCCGTGTGCTCGCACACAGCCCCTGCCGTCTGTGTGGGGCACTTGTTGGGGTTGATTCCATGTGGCTGAGGGAGACGTGTGCTGGAGCCCTGGGCCTGCCACCTCCCTGGGGTCACCCGCACAGAAGGGCCAGGCCTGCCCTGGGGAAGACGGGGTCCCGTGTAGCCCGCAGTCCCGCCGCCGTGAGGCTCCAGAGCTTCCTGCTGACTGAGACCCCTGGGGTCGCTGCTACCACAGGCCCGGCGGGCAGGATGTCGGCTTGTGGCTGGTGCCGCACCGGGAGGGCAGCGGGGGGGCGCGGGGGGAGACGCCCGTCGCTGCCCTGGCCTCGCGTTTCTGAGGCCCCTCCTGTCGTGCGTGTCGGTGCTTCACTCCTTTTCATGGCTGGACGCTCCCCGTGTGGACCGTGCGTTACTTACTGACCGACGCCGGAGGCCACTTCCTACAGGCGGCCTGAGCACCCGCGGGCTCTGGTACCGTGTTGGGGGAGGGGTTCCCGGAGCCAGCTCCCCGCAGACACCCCGGGACGGTTAAGTCTGGAGCAACCAGAAGTTACACGGGGGCTTCTGACGCGGGGGGCAGCGCCCATGTGAACCCCACGGGGCTCACGGGTCCACTGTCCAGCGTGTAGGTGACGGCAGGGGTCCTGGCCCAGCTGAGAGGCCCACCCGGCAGGCTGATCGCTGTGCTCGCAGCGTCCCTGTGGGCCGTCGTGGGCGCCTCGTCTGACGGGGACAGTGTGACCAGCCTGACGCATTCGTGTGCGCAGACGCCATGGTGGCGAACGGCTGCATCGCCCCGGAGTTCCTGGGCCCCCGAGAAACCCCTCCTGCCGTCACCCCTCTGTGCCCTGCTCCAGGCCACCACCCGTGTGCTTTCTGAGCAGGGATTAGGACGGAGGTGGAGCTGAACCTCCCTGCAGGCGGCCCCTCTGTCACTCCCACCGTCCGGATTTGTCTCCCGTGGAGCCGTTCTCCTCCTGCGGCCCCTCCTGCGGCCCCTCCTGCGGCCCGGGCTGCTCCGTCCTGGTCATTTTCTCCTCTGCAGACCCCGCCCCAGGGCGGAGCTACAGGGGCCATGTCCCTGCTGTCTGGGGTGAGGAGGGCCCTCAGGAGTGGCCGGGGTGGCTCCCGGGGAGGGGAGCTCCACCCGGGGCTCGGAGGCGACGCTCACTGACCTACTCGGCCTCGACCAGCAACGCGGGCTCGTCCGCCCTCCCCCGCAGACGTCCTGCCTGGGTCCCTCCGGGTGTGGCCGAGGGGTCAGGGGCCTTGGCCGCCCCGCGCTGACCCTCAGTGTCCTGTCCTGACCCCTCCCCTTCCCCGGTCCTTCCGGTGTTTTCTGTCCCGCGCCTTAGAGCGGCTCCTGCCGGCTCCCTGGGCTCCCCGCCCGCTTCCTGCTGGGCCCGGCGCTCCCGCACGCTGGCCGGCCGGCCATGTACAGTCGGGGGCCCGCGTCTGGCCGTGGAGCGACTCCGGCGCGCAGTTCCCCGCGGTTTTCAAAGCCGCCCTGCGAGCTGCGAGCTGCGAGCAGCCGGCGGCCCCGCGTCCGTCTCCTGTGGAGCAGCGAGTGCCGCTCGCCTTTGGTCCCTCGGCCTGCGCGCCGCACAGAGGCCGCCTCTCATCTTCTCGGGGATGTTCCTCCCGCGGCGGGCGGGCTCCCCCGCTCACTTTCATGTGCAGGCT